CGCAAAATTTTGTATGTGGCTAGCCACACGGTGTGGCCTATCATCATAAGGATTATTTTGTTAGTGTAATAAGTGTTACTTGCTCAATGTTAAAGGGGTTACTTCATTAATGTTATAGGGTTATTCGGTAGTGTTATAGAAATTACTCGATCAGTATTACTAGGGTTACTTAATTAGTGTTATTAGAGTTACTTTGTTATCTTACAAGTGGCCACATGGTATGACCAACCACACACAAGACGCGTTGTTTCAGGTTATATTCAGGTCGATTATAGTATACTTCAGTTTTGGATCAACTAATTTTGATTTGAACGTTTAAATTTTAAAGTTAGCTAGTTAGGTTTAGTTTATCTTGTTTGAAGCTCTCATGAAAAACTAAACCACAAGTAAAATTTATTTTAAATTAAAAATCAGTTTAATAAAATATTGTCAAAAACTACCCACATATGTCAAACTCATTATTTTATTTTATTTTTTCGCTCCTAAAATCGATTCTAACCCTTATGTATATATAACTACTCACAAGTCACAACTCACTCCTTAAAATATACTACCTAATCAACTAACTAAAAAATCATTAAACTATTACTTTTTGAAATAAACGGGCCGGGCGGGCTAGCCCACGGTACATATTGTCTTGTCCGTGTCCGCCCATTTATATTAACGGGCCGGGCCTAGCCCGCCTAAATTTTCAATTTTTTTCAAAATGGTTGTCCAAGCCCGTTTATTTTGCGGGCCAGGTTGAGCGAGTTTAGCGGGTTCACCCGTTCATGAACAGCTCTAGACAAAATTAGTTCGTGTTAAAACCAAATAAAAATTATGATTGTATATATTGGTAGTTTTGATAATGAACAATTGGACACATCCAAATAAGATGATACTAACTTCCAAATCCTAAAACACATTAACTTCCTAATAAGATAATTCTTGATTCGCATTTCTTATGTCAATGTTTCGTATAATTTTATCTTCGATTGTCAATATAACTAATATTAGGCCCAGTTCACTTCACAAAATTATGTTTGCAGAACTTAAATTATTTTACTGAATTTAAATTAATTTTACTGAACTGATTTTTTTTCTTTTTTCTTTCTTTTTTGAAACAGAACTGAAATTATTTTTACTGATCTAAAATTATTTTTACTGATTTTTCATTATAATTCTTCTTGAAAACTGAATTTTACTGAACTGAATTTATTTTTACTAAACTGAAATTATTTTTATTGAACTGAAACTAATTTTACTAAACTAAACTTATTTTTACTAAACTAAAATTATTTTTTCTTAATACGGAGTATTATTTTTGTTAAGGTGAGGTGAACAGGGCCTAAATGGTTTTTCACGTTTTAAGTAACTTATCTCCATGTTGTTGTTGTTGTTGTTATATTATACTCCATATTTTTTATGTTATGAATTTATGAGTGAATATCTGACTCTCGGTTAAAGAGTACTCCATAACACATGATTGCTTAAGTTTTTACACTTCTTCAAAATTAATAAGATCTAAATATCATTATAAATGGCAATTAATGGATATGTTTTTATAATTTATTTCATATGAGGGACATATATAAAATCTAATCTAATATATATAAATAAATTAGGCATTTTTGGAAAGCATTGGGAGCGCCACATAAGAAAAGGTATATTTTCTACCAATTAAAAATTAGATTTCTATTTCATTTTAGAATTAAAAAAAGGAAATTTTGACTTTTACCACCAAAAAATTTGGACAAATTGTTTTTTACCACCTACTATTTTAAAAGTTTTATTTTACCACCAAATAAAAAAAATAAAGTTGTTTTTTACCACCAAATTACAACTCCGGTGACTGAAAAACGCAATGGGTCCCACTGTTTACCCTTTCCATCCAAATTACATGCTACCCACCCCGATTCATTTTTCCTATTGAATAACCCCAGCAACAGAGTTGAATTTCCTTCACTTTTCTCACCTTCCTCTCATTAACTGCTCTGAATTTTGCTCTCTCACCTTAACTTTTAATTTCTGACTTTTCTCTTTCAATTTTTTTACTTTTCTTCGAGCTTTCATATCAATTGTTTGCGTAGAGACGAAGACCTGAACCACACAAACCACACAACCCAGCCTAGAGTTCGTCACTTTCAACAAGGGGGGGGGACTTGAAAGCATGCGACTTTTTCGATTTCACCATCAACGATTCGAGAATCTGACAGCGAAAGGTACTTTTGTGTGTTTGCAAAAAGAGTGAAATGTCCATTTAAGGTGTATGATGTGAGATTTGTGAAGTCAAAAACTTTGCATATCAAGTCACTGAGATTGAAGCAACTTTGCAAAGAGAACTCCACACTTACATTTTCTCTCTCTTGAAGGAAAACTTAAAGAAGACTTTACCTCCTGCAAAATCACACTTAACAACTTCAGTAGTTGTACCAATTCAGCTTAATTACAATTTCATAAACCTAATTTCAATGCAAATCATTGATTCACAAAACCCCCAATTTCAAACTTAACATGAACCCTAATTTTACAAAAACACAATTTGGGTTTTAATTGCTAAGTTGTAGCAACAAATTGTGGATTAACTACCTCGTTATCTCAAATTATATGAACATTCGAACAAAATTATTTAATCAATTCAAGTAAATCAGGTAATTAAATGTGCGAAAAAACGACTTACCTCAACTGCTTCAATTCTCACTTTTCAACCCAATTCGTAAAAAAATATGTGGAATATTGATGTTTGTGGCTGAATCCGTGAGCTTTATGTTGTAATTTGAGAGAATTGGGAACAATTGATGTTTTTCAATGGTTTTATAGGCCGGAAAATCGTGACCAAAACGAACAAAAATCAAAAAGTAGTCATTGTAGTGGGACCCATTGCGTTTTTCAGTCACCGGAGTTGTAATTTGGTGGTAAAAACAACTTTAATTTTTTTATTTGGTGGTAAAATAAAACTTTTAAAATAGTAGGTGGTAAAAAACAATTTGTCAAAATTTTTTGGTGGTAAAAGTCAAAATTTCCTTAAAAAAATCACTCGCCACTTAAACAAAAGTGACGAATGAAATTTTAAATTTTTTCCACGTAGGTAAAAACGACGAATAGTAATTTATTAGGATTTTAATTATTTAAGAACACTAAATTTTATCATATTTATTTGTTACAAAACTAAAAATTATCTTTAGATATTAGGATTTATATTATTTAACAAACTAAAAATTATATTTTGATATTTAAAAAATATAAATTATCATTTGATGTTAATGGTTTTATGTAAATATCTAATGATATGATATTTTCATACAAAATTTTAAAACTTATAATGCAAGAAAAAAATTAAGAGATCACCAAAAAAATTATTTATATACAAAATGTATATAAAATTCGTGCATCGCACGCCACATAAGCAAAAGTAATATTTCGACCAATGAAAAATTAGATTTATGTATTAATTTAGAATTTAAATTTTCAGTCGCCATTTAAGAAAAAATTAACAAATGAAATTTGAGAATTGAAAAAAAACAAAATTATCTTTTATATTATCTTTTACATTAAGATTTATATTATTTTAATAAATAATTAGAAATTAAAAAATATATTTTGATTTAATGATTTTATCTAACTATCCGATGAATGAGATAATATTTATTTCAATTTATAAATTCAAGTTCTATATACGTAAAATTTGAATAAGAATAATTTAAAACTTCACAAAATATTTTACCTTAAATTAATGTTAAATAATAGAATAGAAAATAAAAACAAAAAATATTAAGAAATTACAAAAAAATATACAAAATGAAATATTTAAAAACCGTGCATCGCACGGGCTTACATCTAGTATATATTTATTTCAATAAATTTTTTTATGATGTGCGTCGCACGGGACTTATCTAGTTAAGCTATCATATCAAACACTTGTCAATTTCAGATTGATAATTATCGGTTATTTATTTATTTATTTATTTTTTTTCTAACGGGAATTATCAGGGGTTAAATTAGGTTCAAATTAGAGTTGTTAAAAGCTGACCCGACCCGAAATACCGACCCTAACTCGACCTATTAATCGACCCGTCTGAACCCGAAAAAAATGGTGACCCGAACCCGACCTAATCGACCTGAAACCAACCCTAGACCCGAGTTGACCCGAGTATTTGAGACCCGAACCCGAACATTAACCGACTTAGAGACGACCCGACCCGAATGTAATCCGTAAATTATTGACCAGAACCGAACCCGAACTGAACCGAAATTGACCCTAACCCGTTTTAACCCGTCAAAACCCGAATTCAACCCGACCTGTTCCTAATCCGACCCGAATTCAACCCGACCTGTTTCTAACCCGACCCGAATTTAACCCGACTTGAATTTCAACCCAACTTGTTACAAACCCGACCCGAATTAACCCAAATTGTTATTGACCTGACCTAAATTAAACCCGACTTGTTATTGAATCAATATGTATAGGTCGTTAATTCGTTATCTCATGTTGGTTTTGTAATGGAAATTGAATCCTAACTCTATTCCTTCAATATTTCACTTTGAATTTTAAGAGGTTAGTTTCACAACACGTTTTTGGGAACGAATTTCAGGGACGAAACATGTTTTCCGCAAATTATTGACTTGAACCGAACCCGACTTGAACCCGAGAATGACCCGACCTGATTATAACCCGTAAATAATTGACTTGAACCGAACCCAAGAACGACCCTAACTCGTTTAAACCCGTAAAGACCCGAATTTAACCCGACCTATTCTTCACCCGACCCGAATGTAACCTGACCTTTTACTAACCCGACCTAAACCCGATAAGATGTATGACCCGACTCAAGCATGACCCAACCCAAACCCGACCCGCATATGTTATGACATTAACCCGTATTGACCCGACCCGAGATGACCCGACTCACACTAACCCGAATCAAACACGACTCATTTATCCGAATTGACAACTCTAGTTCAAATAACCAAAACTAGACGTAGTGGAAAAGATCGCACCTTATAACCTTCTCCCATTAGAGACGCTTGAAGGTGAGGATCCCTTATCGTAACACTCTCACCCTTGGGTCAAACTTGTTTGTGTTTACGCAACCCACCCAACCCAACCCCTTCACGGTCCCACCCCTCCTCTCTTTCTCCTCCATTGAAGCGGTCTCTGAATTCACCATTGAAGTGGCGAGTGAGCTTTCTCTCCTCCATTAAACTAGCTTCTAAGGTAGATTATCTATTCTTGGAGCTCATATTTTTTTTTTCCATTTCATTAATCATTGAATTTTAATTCATAATGTAGTGTTAGTCGTCAATTTAATTGTAAGTATAATCAATTTAGGGTTCATCTATGTTAGATTATTGAACTATTTGTTATAATTACTGATGTTACGGAAGATTATAACTAGTGATTTCATTTCTACAATAGGAATTTAATGTGAATTTTAAAGCCTAGTTTGACAATTGAATCAAATTTGGCTGCTAAATGCTAATGTGTTGCAGGGTTTTGTTTTTGTATTTCTGTATGTACTTTATTCGTAGTATAATATTTGTATTTCCTAATTGTGTTTTGAATAGATTGGAAAGAATGACAGAAAACTCCATTATAGTTTTGGAATAGATTGTAGGAAGATGAAATTTGATGAGAGATAAGATGATAGGTAGCAGCACAAACAGTAAGAAGTAAAATGAATGTTAAAAAGCGTATGAAATCGCGGTAAAGAAGTAATTAGACAGGGATGACTAAAGAATTAGTGTATGGAGGAAGAAATAGAAGATAGTTTGGAACGATTGCCCCTGTCCCCGTTTATAATGTTGAGGATTGAGTGTGGTAAGTTGTCTTGTTGAATAAACCGCCCGTTGTCTCTCCAATACAATGATAGAAGGTATTCAGTAGCTGTCATTGGATTGACCCGAATTATGTACATGAAAACAATCACTGAAATATCAATATCCTCATCCAAGAGAAAGTAGAAAAACCAATTACTCCCAAGTCGAAAGCACAAGCACGCTATTAGCTTTGATGAAAGATTGAAAGGAGAGGAAAGGAAAGGAAAATTTTAGATGTTGCATTGTAGGAGATGACAAAAGGAGGTTGACTCGTTTAGGTCAGGCTATTCCCTTATTAGAATTTTGTGAGTGTTCTTAGAGTTATATATATTGCCTTTGTTTAGGAGATTTTGAGTAAGCTATATACATTTGACCTTCCCCTATAGTGGATTCCACATTCTTGTTGACTTGTTGTTATTGTCAAGAAGATTAGATGTTTCATATTCTATTAGACTTTCAATAATCATATTTTGACTCGTTAGTTTTATCCAGGATTAGAATACAAAAGTCAGCAAGTGCTACTTGCCTCTGAAAGACCATTCTTTCAGATGCAAGTGCCAACAATTATTCAAGTCTTTGATAGATAACTTCCATAGTGCCTCGAGATATGGAAGCACTTGCATCTTCACAGCTACTACCATACTTGAATTCCAAGAGATACTTGCCTCTGAAAGACCATTCTTTGTGTAATTTTCGCCCAAAATTGCATGCTCAAGTAGCCTCAAGATCAGAGGATTTATCACTGAGCCATCATGTGCTTGATAAGATGCCTAGGACGGATACTTTTGCTTGGAACCAGATGATCCGAACCCATCTTGCTACTGGAGAGATAGACAATGTCATGTACATATATCAGCAAATGTTAATACGAGGTGTTTGCCCTGATAAGCACACAATTCCTCGAATTTTGGCTGCTTCTCGTCTTTCAAATTCCTTGTTTCTTGGCAGACAAGTTCATGCACATGCTGTTAAACTAGGTATTTCTTATGAAGACTATGTCATTACTGCATTGATGAAAATGTATGGCCATTTAGATGGTGCCAAAACAGTGAAACAGGTCTTCAATACGTCGAGTGTGGGGAAAAGCTCTGTCTTTGGAACCTTGTTAATCTCCATGTATTTAAAGGAAAATAAACCCAGATTTGCTATAGACCTGTTTTACCAAATGGTGACTCTGGGTGCTGACATTGATGCAGTGGCAATAATGACTGCAGTTGGTGCTTGTGGCATGCTGCAATCCTTGCACGAAGGAAGAAGAGTACATGAGATAGCCAAGTCTTGTGGATTGGAAACTCATGTCTTGGTATGTAATTCCTTGCTGAAAATGTATGTGGATTGTGGAAGCATTGAAAGTGCTCGTGAAATTTTTGATGTAATGTCATCTAGAGACCCCATTTCTTGGACAGAATTGATCCGCGGTTATGTGAAGAATGGGGGATTTAATGAAGCGCTGAAATTATTCAAAAAGATGATGTCTGAGGGCATTCAACCTGATCTACATGCAGTATCAAGCATTTTACCTGCATGTGCAAGAATGACTGCCCATAAGCAGGGCAAAGAAATTCATGGTTACTTGATCAGGAATGGTCTTGAAATGAATGTTACTGTGGAGAATGCTCTTATAGACATGTATGTCAAATCAGGATCCATCGGTTCTGCTTCTAAGATCTTCAGTGGAATGACAACTAAAGATGCCATTTCGTGGACAATAATGATCTATGGCTACAGCCTTCATGGACAAGGAGCACGTGGGGTTAAATTGTTCCATGAAATGAAAAAAACCAATCTTGAAATTGATGAAGTTGCATATTCTTCTGTTCTCTATGCTTGTGTGGTAGCTAAATTAGTTCAGGAAGGGAAGACACTCTTCAATTTTATTAAGAGACCTAATGTCAGGCATTATGCTTTTATGGTTTTGCTTCTGGCCCGTGCTGGATATTTCTATGAGGCAAAGATCTTTATTGAGAAAAATCAACTCGGACAACATACAGAGGTTTTAAGAGCTTTATTAGATGGGTGCAGGAATCATCGAAATGTTAAAACAGGGAAGAAAATTATTGAACAGCTTTGTGATTTGGAACCACTTAATGCTGATAATTACGTTCTATTGTCAAATTGGTATGCTAGCTATTCAAAATGGGACTCGGTGAATAAAATGAGGGAAACAATCAGAGACATGGGCTTGGTACCTAAGAGAGCATATAGTTGGATAGAATTCTGCAATAAAATACATGTATTTGGGACTGGTGATGTATCCCACCCAAGATCTGAAAAATTGTACTGGGAACTCCGATGTTTGATGATGAAGATAAAGGAAAAGGAGTACGCTTTTGACGCAGATTTTAGTCTCCATGATGTTGATGAGGAGAGAGAATGCATTCCAATGGGGCATAGTGAAATGCTTGCCATTTCCTTTGGTTTAGTTAGCACCCAAAGGAGTACAATTCGGATAACTAAAAACAGTCATGTTTGTCACAACTGTCATGAAATGGCAAAAGTCATATCTAGAATAGAAGCTCAAGAAATAATATTGAAGGATCCCAATTGCTTTCACCATTTTAAGGATGGACAATGCTCTTGTGGAGACTCGTGGTGATGTTGCATTGTGAAGGTATATATGTTTACTGTTATGAACCTCAGGCGCATTACTTGAGAAAAAGATGGGGATTTGCACCTTCTTCTGATGATTGCAGCCTGATTTATCAATCTCAGCCTCTCAGGTAAGAGAAATAGAGTTAACTAGGATATTGCGTCTAATTATTTTTCTTAAAATCTGCTTTTATTTAACTGAGTTGCAAACCGAAGAAAGGATGTATGGGTCAGTGTGTGTGACATGCGAAGTATATGCTATAGAAACTGTGATTTTTAATATCATGACATAGAAAAATGACTCATGTTGTCATGTTCATTCCAATTTCAAATTTTAAGCTAACTTCTTGGTGAGCATTGCCACTTTTTACTACAGAGAGTAACATGCACTTATTTTGGTACCTTGGCATATTGAAATTGGTGTGAATGATATCCATGTCATAACCTATGTTACTTGGACTCGGATAAAGTGTCAAATTAGACACGGGTGTCCAAGCATCGGACTCGCTCATTTTCTAGAAAAAAAGTTGTGTTTTTAGTTAAAAATGAAGTGTCCAAGCGTCAGTGTCGGTGTCGGTGTCCGACACGTGTCGTGTCGACACGGACACGTGAGGTTAATGAAAGAGTCCGAGTAACATAGGTCATAACTCATAAGTTTGCGTATGTAGTTACATTCCTTCAGAGCGCCCCTGACATTGGTGGACACTTCTCAGATTGCTAATTTATTGTTTAAAGGCAATGTTAGATTATTGTACCAAAAATGAGATCATTTTTTTTTTTTTGAGGAAAAAAAAAAAAAAGGAGAGATCATTTAAACCTCTAGTTTGGTCTTATTAATGCTCGCACTATCTTTGATGGAGATTTTGCTATCCAATATCAATTTTAAGGGTAGACATCATCAGTAGGTGGTTTTGAATTATGTAAAATTCTGGGATAGTTTCCAGAATTCCCTTAACTCCTGTATTTTAGATGAGTTGCACTGACATCATGTTATAATATCATTTAAACCAAGTCGATTGTATTATGTGCAGGATTGGGAGGATGGCTAAACTGCATAATTAAGTGAGAGTGATTGATGAATCCTAGACTTTTGATTCTTTAATTATCGTGAGTCTCCTTTGTCATGAAGCAGTCACTGTCTCCGAGAACTGAACATCACCAACACACTTGTGATTTTGTGAAGGACTAGTCAAGCCCTGCAGGCTTAGACTTGAATTTCCAAAATCTGTGATTGGTTAAGGTGGTCCATGTGAAATGACGGGGTTGCTTGGTGTGCAAAGCTTCCGATTCAATCTTTTGTCAGAGGGTTATGTTGAACGATTGCAATGCTTAAAGTTTTGGGTCTTGTAGTCAAGGACTCAAGGTCATTGGGAGGCCAGAAGCCGCAGACTACAGTAATGAAGATGTGATTTTCTTTGTTACCGTATCTAATAGTAATTGCCGCTTCAAAAACAATTATTTTGCTAAAGAAGTGAAATTTAAGAGCAGGATGCCAATGAATCTCGAAATTTGGCTCATAAGGTCTGATTCAAGCAACTAAGAACTCTGGCTGAAATCAGATATCCTAAGCTCCAATTTTTCTACAAGGACAACATAATCTGTTATTTCAAAAAGGTATGGTGTTATACTGCCATAAGATTGTTTTGCTACAAATCCTATTCCCAGTGTTTGCTTTTTATTCTTCAGATTACATTTTAGTGCTCAGACTGCTCACGTTACTCACCTCACAGAGTCGATAAATAAACAATGCATTATAGCTAATGACCTTTAAACTCTCATGGTATCAGTACATTTTACTGCTTATATACTGCTTGTAATTGGTATGGGATTCAACGTATTCAAAGGTATGGGATTCAACTTATTCGACTATTAAAATCCTGATCTGTATCTTGTTCAGTTTAACCAATTGTGGACTTTCCAAACTTCTGGTTACATCAGAGTTCATACCTGAAGTAGAGTTGGCAGTTTGCTGTGCAAGCATGCCGTTTGCTTGAATTCTTCCACCACAAGTTAAACTCAATTAGTAATTACATTGCCACCAAAGTCCCCATTTTCTTTTGGAATGCCCACAAATCCTCTACCATGGGATAAAAGTATATTTGAGCAACGCGCAAGACTTGTGTATATATGCTCAAAAGTTATATTGTTTCCTACTTCGTTGTCTGCTTTATGGAACTTTCTGATATATTTCGTACGACTTAAAAAGCTATGTGAAGAGAAGAAGTTGGTAATTCGTTAAGAGGGTCGAATATTGCTTTGTCGAATTGACAAGATTTACAGATATTTGCTTCCTTCAACTTTTTTCGACAACTGAAATGTTCAACACGCCTACAAGAAGCAAATCCAGCAGCATATTGGACAACTAATGTCGATAACAATTGGTATCTACTACCTCTGATAATTTTCAATTGCAACTTTGGGCTATTACTTGTGAGGTATAAAATATTTCAAAGTTGTAACTAAAAGTTAACAGAGGTAGTATATATTCTTCCATGTAATAGTTCTTACGGTATTTATTTTCAATTATTGTTTTTGATGCATTAGTGTTCCCTTTATCAGAAGGATGGTCTCCTAATACTTCTTTCTCCGTATTTATTATTCTTGTAATAAAATTTACAATAAATGAGCTATCAATTTTATCATGTGGTGAATAAAAAAAATGTAAAATTAGCATATTCCAATTCCAAGCCTAATTTTGATATCTTGCAGATCGGTATTTAGTGACTTTAATATGTATAAAAAATAAAGCACGAAATTGGAAGAACATTGGAACAAACAATGATATTAATTTCCACATGTCAACTGGAGTTTATGTCTTTTTATCCAGGTGCAGGAAATCAGAATAATTTCACCAAATTGAATGTGAAAATGACACTAATTCTTGTCTTCTTTTTTACATAATTTATTAATATGTACGTATTTCAAAAATAAAAATAATCTAAAATGGTCGGTATGAAATCCAAGAATTTAAGAGTAAAAAATTTTCACCTTTGTTTGTCGTTGATGATCTTTTCATTGACATCAACCTTTATGTGGAATAGAAGCAAAATTAGACACAATTATGGCTTATAAAACCAATCAATTGTACTAATGGGGCCTCTTTGCATAGTCTACTAGTGTTGACTGATGTTACTGCACTAACACAACACATGGAATCATCTCTCATTTTCCATTCCTTTGAAATAATCATGTCCATCCAATGCACCTCATGTATTGTTCCTACAAGCATTGATTATACTCCCTCCATTCGGAAATAATCGCCGATTGTCAAATGATTCTCAAATTTTATGTTGTATTCAGTTTAGTAAGAATAACCGACCCTCTCCGTTTAGGTTAAACGATGCAATTTGACTGACACATTTGATAATACAAATCTGTAATCATCCGTATTTTTCATTAACTTTGTAAGCTTGATAAATTAAAAATGTAGATTGAGATCAGTCTAAAAACATTTTATAATAACACATTTGTTTTTATATGTTGGTGAAATTGAAGGTTAAATAAATGAAAACAAATTATTGATAGTGAAAAAATTGGCTTATTGCATATATAACTTGAAACAAAAGGGATACATCATAGGGATATCACATAGTATAGTGCACCCGGGTGCACCATACGCATGGTGCACCCGGAAAGAACATTAGACATATTTTAAAGAACATGGGAAAAAAAAAAGAACATGCTAGTGTTAGAAAAAGAACATGTTTGTGTTTGACAAGAATATGACATTACAAAGAACATAAAATCTTTACAAAAAGAACATGTTATTTTTCATGGTTATTTAGGTGTTGAACGTGTTTGAAAAAAGAACATTATATTTGACAAAAAAGAACATGTTCGTGCTTGACAAAGATGTAGGTGATCATTGGGTGGGCCGGGCCAAGGTTAAAAAATCAGCTCACTTCTCGGGTTGGGCCAAATTTTGGGCCGAAGTTTTTGTGCCCAAAATTGTCCGGCCATGCGGGCATTTCGGGTCGAGTAAAAAAATCAACTAAAATGCATAAAACGCATTCCCAAACCCGCCCAATAAATTAAATTTATATAATGTTCTTTTTTTGCCCATATTCTTTTAAATATACCTCATGTTCTTTTCGGATGCACCATGCGCATGGTGCACCCGGGTGCACCAACTATTGCTACCATAGGGATATATGATTGTTATTTTTGACAAATGGTTGATTATGAATTTATAATACCCCTCATCACCAGTGGTTCATTTTGAAGAACTTTAGTAGGAAAATATCCGCAACAAACTTCCCTCTTCAATTACATCAATGTCATATCAATGTAATTTGATTTAGAGTTTTATAACCAAGACCACAACTTAGGTCATGATACAAATTATTTAAGGTATGTTCACGTCCAAATTTAACCATTAATAATTTTAATTATCAATTAATATAGACAATTTAAGTTTGAATAGATTCGATTGAAGATAGACAACAAACAGAGTCGAACAATCTTCTATAATATACTTCCTCCGTTTTCTTTTACTTGCAGCACTTCCCTAAAAAGGAAATGTCACAATACTTGCAACACACTGTAAAAGGAAAGTTACTTTAGGAAAATACTATAATATATCCCTTATTTAAAGCACATGGCCCACTAAATTACACTCATAACAACTTTTCATCCTATTTTAAAGTTTATTATATCATGTAAACCCCACCTTTCTTAATTACCGCGCTAAAGGGTGTGTTGCATCTGAAAGAAAACGGAGGAAGTACTTGTACAAAGTATTATAAAATGGAAGTCAAACTATCATATGGACATTAGAAAAAGTCAAAATAGTGCATTTATTTTTGAAACAGATTTATTAAATTAAAAAGTCGCTTATAATTGTAGAATAGTTGAATATATATATCTGTATGTAGAGGTGTCAAAACCACATCCGACCCGACTCGACTTGACTATATTAGCCCCAATTTAAACATCTGAATTGACATATACGGAGTATACTCGTATGTGACATAATATTTAGTGACAAAGCGAGTATTGGTTAAATATGCCCCCTTATCCTACACTTGAGAAAGCGATGTCCAACAAGAATAATGCTGATGGTCTTATGATATTATAACACATCATGTAAAGTTCCCCGCAACTTGGTTTATTTACAAAGTATATGTAGTACTACAAACACTTCCTAGTGAAAAACAAGCATCTCAAACTCACATAGTACATTACATACCAAAGTTCAAGGTGATCAATCAATTAAGCTATGAAGATATTAGGATGGGATCCAATGGCAAGCATGAAGAAGCGAATCGCGTGTAGTGGTGGAGCTTCATCTGCAACGTCTTACATGAAAATACATAGAAGAGCAACACCACAAGAATGTTGTGAAGGAGGTTCGTTTTTGTTGGTCAAGCAGTTGTTTTGGAAAATTCGCGCTAAATGGAAGCAATATTGCTTGAAACGACAAAGAGGTAACGCGATCAACTATAGCTACGATGCAAAGAGCTACAATCAAAATTTCGATAGTGGTCATCCTCTTGATCGACCTTCACCCTTGGCACCTTGAAATCTTTTAAGAACTCTTTTTCGACTTTTTTTTTTTTTTTTTTTTTTTGGTTTGGCCAAGTTGGTGATGATTTTGGTACTGCTAAATGCCTAAATCTTGTATAGTTAATACTACTTTGCATTTTTCGTGCTTTGAATTTTGGTAATTAAACTCCTTGATTTTGTAGATTCCGTCAAACTTCTTTCTACCAATAATTTGGTAGTTAAACCAAACAGCTTTTTCTTTCTTTCTATCTCTCTTGAACGGCAAATGTATATATGTACTTTCAATTATTAATTTTGAGGTTTTAACAAATTTTTTAATTCCCGTAAAAAACCCTAAATAGGCTCTTAATAAAACGATGGAGGGAGTATAATTTGTTACTTCAAACTGGTAGCGTTATCTACGTGGATCTTTCTAGCTAATATTAATTGTTATGTTTAGTATTAATTAAAACTCAAAAATTGTAGAAAATTAAAAGTGTGAAACGAAAATTAATTTTTTTTTGTTTGCTTTTTTACATTGCGTGTGATGATGTTAGGAAATTACAAGGAAAGAATGAACTGAAAGTTCATCCAAAAAAAAAAAAAAAAACAGCTGGACTTTTGATGAAAAAAATTAGGTTAGCAAGATAAAAATGGGGGATGCCCACTGGGTTTAATTTGGCCCCCTCCACTAAGAATTGTCATCTACTTTATGACAACAAGAATTAACACCGAATCATGTCACATAAATAGCACTTTCTATTAGCTTGATGGAATTTGGGGTATAAACACCATTCATTAATATAATAATATTACCTTCATTTTTTGCACAAAAAAATAAATTAAATATTACCTTCATTTTAAATTATTTGCAACGATTAGACATAAAATATAAATAAAAAAATATTTAATTATTGTAAATAATTTATAATGGAGGTAGTATAAATATATAATACCCTTAAACTATAAAATAATATTTCAATCTGTATTTTTAGTGTATCGGTTTATTTACTCCCTCTGTTTTTTACAAGGTAGAGATAGTTTGCGCGGAGTTTTGGTTTAATAAAATAAGATATTAGCGATGTGGATAAGTTTACTCCCTCCGTCCCTTAATTAAATTTCCAATTCTCTCTAATTAAGGGATAGAGGGAGTACTATTTTATTGCAAAGTAAAGTGGTGTGAAAAAGAGTGAAGACCCTTGGAGATGTGAGAAATGATAAAATAAGAAAGAGTGGGGACATGAGTAGGTAAAAATATAAAGTAGTAGTAAATTGTAAGAGAATTCTAAAAATGAAACTCTAACTTATAAATAAACGGACTAATATATTAAATCTAACTTATAAAAAATAGAGGGAGTATATGGTGATCACACCTAGGATCTCATTATGATATGTGAACTTCTTTAGTTGAGTCGTCAACTCTGTCTCGTGCCACAACCTTCCTAGCCGCGTTGTTTAGTCTAAGAATGTTATTGGGTGACTAATTTGATGGCACATACAAAATGGACTATTTTCGGAAAATTCGAGACTCAATGTTGAAAACTCGTGTAATGGTGGGCCGGGGATATATGTTTAAGCCATATAAGGCTGTTTACAATGTGCCTACTAGCTAGTTGGTCACATAAAACTATAAAAGTCTATAATAGATGACCTTGATTCAATGATAGGAGCATGTTTTTAACTTGCTAAATTAGTGCTTAGAGGCAAAGTGGATGGGTCTAACTAGAGGTAATGAAAAATCGGGCCAGTCTGTACAGTCAGATGTCCAAACCCACAAAATAGTGTTAGTGTATTAGATTAACCTTAGGAAGGGCAACTTTAGAAAATTAGAAGTCTAATAATTTTAGGTTAGTAGTCCTTACTCCTCAGTCTTAATATAAATAGGGGATAGTATATTTAGTAGGATTATGTGAATTGTGAGGAGAAATGTTGACAGCTGTAACCTCAAGTTACTAGGAGTGTGATGATCTAAAGTTATTAAGAGAGTAATAGCCTTAATCTAATATCCTATCACTTTTGTACCCAATTTATGCCATTTTAATCAAAGTCTCTAGCTTTATCTTTATGTATTAACCTTATTAAATAAGACATTCAAGTCAGATTATCAGTCTATAACTAACAGTTAGGCTTATCGGGTCAAATAGGACTTTTTTTAGTCA